TGGTAGCGATGTTAACACGATAACCGTTCCGCCTTGTGAGTACGACTGCAAAGTTGAAAAAAAAAATTAGTCGGTTTCGAAGCAAACGAAGGTGATGACTTGACAACCTTAGCAGCTAAAGAAGGAATTAAAGTGGATTTCCAATCAATTGATAAAGATTTATACTTTGTTGAAGTTGATGATGGTAAAATCAAAGGTTCTCAAAATGTTAGTTTATCTTTAGCATCTGAGTCACTATACAATCAGCCGATGATTCCCTATGTGTCCGCGAAGTGACTCGCGGCTGCGCTCTTGCAGCTCGATCATCCATTCGGCTCTTGCACTGACACTGTTGAACGACGTATTTAATCACTAACGGCAAGCACACGAGGAACCGCAGGTGGTAGTAACGGTAGCGCAACAGACCATCACTGCATAAAAGATGCAAAGTAAAACACTATGTCGTACGTGTATGATGTCGAACATCATCACTACATAGTACACGGACACGTGCTTCTGTTCCTCTAGGTTACAGTCCTCTTATGAGTAACAAATTGCGAAGACGTGTGGAAAAGGCACACAGAACCGGCCCGGGGGCGTCGTGGATCAGCAAGTTAGAAAAAGACAAATGTAAAGGCGCAGAAAGACAAAAGGTTCGTTCAAGAGGCTCGCTATACATCATGTCGAAACGTGAAGAAAAGTGGAATGGAAAAAAGGCGTAGTACGAGGGAAGGGTCCCGTTACGTGCCCGGGTGGATGTCGTCAGCCTCTTCGTTCTTCGTCACGTTCTTGGCTTTCTTCCTTTCGTGCTCTTCCTTCCTTTATCTTCGTTCTTCCCTACCTCCTCTTTCGTTCGCTCGCCCTTTTTCTTTCGTGTTTCCTCAGCTTTCGTTCGGAAAAATTCGTCCTCAGCTTTCCTCCGTGTTTCCTCTTTCATTGATTGCATGTGAACATAGCTATCAGCGACACGGAAAACAACAGTTACCCGACGATCTGAATTTCATCCTTCAATGTTCTCATCTTGTATTCGTCGTTTGCTGGTAGTTCTAGCGGAGCTTCATTAATGATTGCCTGCCGTACTCGTATATTAAGAGACTATTGTGATAGATATCATACCACGCACATGTTCTTGTGGGCGGCCACTCTCGGGGATGCTCCAATCCGGAATTCGCTAACGGCTAGCGTTGGGCGCGTAGGCGAGATAATGCTCGCGAGCTGCGTTACACCACGCGAGCTGCTCCGCAATCCTGTCCCACTGCCTGGCGCTGTCCTTCACAGCTGCGTGATCGCCTAGATGCCAAGCCTGGTCGATTGCCAGCGGCACGAAGGACGCGATGTTGGGTGCAATGCGAGCAAGCGTCTGTGCGGCAAGGTCGACGTCGTCGTCATCCTCGATCACAGAGTTGTACACCTGCCAGTAGGTCAGCTGGGTGTGGCATACGCGGCTGACGTCGGAGTCTTCGTCATCCAGGTCTTCGGAGCTGGTCACGTCAACGGCGAGGCCAAGCATCTGAAGCTTTGGACAGTGGAGAAGCAGCGAAGCGAGTCCACGGAGCGTGATATTGGTGTCCGTTACGTCTCCCATGTCGACGTATGGCGAGCGAAGCCAGAGTAGGTTGAGGTGGGTAAAGTTCGGGAACGATCGCGCTAGCTGCTCCAGAATGGAGTCATCCCATGCGGGATGTGGGCATTCTCCCACACTGAAACATGTCAAGTTGTGGAGACGAAGCAACGGGCGGAATACGTCAAAGGGAAGCAAGCTGGTATTGTCTGAATCGGGGAACAAGAGTTCTATATCGTGGACGGGTGCGCTAGTATCGACCAGAGTCTCGGCTATGGCGGCAATGGCCTCGGGGACGGCTGTATCAGCGTGCACATCGTTGAATATCACTGACAAGCAATTGAGGCTTGTAAGATCTTGCAGTGCATTCATCACGTGCATGACTTGAAGGGGTTGGGTTTGTATGAGAAGGTAGCGGAGGGCGGGAAGCCTAATGGCAGTCCCGCAGGTGCTTGGTGAGGTAGAGCGCAGATTTTGAGAGGGGACGCGCCACTTGAGGCTTAACTTCGATAGCGCTGAGAGCGGTGATAGTACCGACAGGATCTGTGGGACGGACACTGTGAAGTCGTCCGGAAGATCAAGATGAATTGACTCGAGTTTCTTCAGCCTGCAGGCGATAACCTCAGTAATCTCTATGATTTCATCTTTGATATCACCGTGGAATGTAAGATGGATGTCCTTGAGCAACGGACATGCGTCAGCCGCGACTGTCAAAATGGGGGATGCCTTCGACTCAAGCCCATATAGACTAAGCACAGTGAGCCGGGTTCCTAGAAATAACCGCGGAAAAAACACGATGTCATGTAGCAATGGCGCGAGATAGGGGTAGTCTTCGTCTCCAACATACATACGCTGTATGTTTGGTAGAAGGGTGGGGCCGCAGTAGCAGCTCACTGCACTAAGCACGCCGACATCTACGATAATGTGCATAGTCGACGTGTCTGTGCGCAAGACGTGAACACGGGGGACATACTTCTGGAGAACGAGCCAATCTGATTTACGCATAACACGTCGGAATGAAAGCTTGTGCTGCCAGTGCCCTGCGTCGTTCGGCTGAGGTTGAAGAAGGCAGCTGAAGACAGCTTAAATACATATAATAGAGTAGCTCACCTCTTCAAACGTGAGTCTCCATAGACTTCTGGGCATGCACATGAACACGTATGCGAGGCAGCCAAGCTCGTAGTAGAGCGCAAAATTTCTTCAAGTTTACGTACTTTTGGGGGCTTTCTCGATCACTAACCCTTCCAAGTTGTTGGTCCACGCACTACCCCGAATATGGAGGATTCGTTGATGGAGGTCTGAGATTTTGTTACTGCCAGCCGTTTATTAGCCGCACTGTCCGAGCAAATACTCGAGACAGTTTGAGGACTGAGCAGAAGGATCGCGGAGCGTAAAGATCTGAATCTGAATTCGGTCTGAGTTTGAACTTCAATCGCAAGCGAAATTTCAAGCTGGCCTTTGCGCGCTCCTAACGCTCTCATTGGCCATGCCCATGTGGACAATTTACAGTCTACAAGTGCGTTACCAAAATACCTTCATAGGACCTCCGAAAAAGAGATAAGCTCACACGAGCAAGGCTGTCAAGACTACTAGGACAGATGAACTTTAGTATTCATTGGAGAGTATGCACCCTCGTTTCGAAAAAGCACTCTACCCCACGATGCCGTCACGCTAACGCAACGTTACTGATAGAAACAGAAGGACGAATGGGATGCTCCCTTCATGCCGTGACATCTGCTGCAGTCTCCAGGAACTTAGAGTCCCACCAGTTGTTCCAGCAGCGCTCAAGTTCGCCGGACGTGAAGTCGACGAAGCGTCTGAAGAACTGCTTCTTGTTGACGGGATTGTACACCCCTGCTTCGTTCCGCCGCTTGAGGTCGTACGCGTACACGCCCTCCAATATGCAGTGCGAATGGTGTCGCTCAGCAAGGCGGGAAAGGCACTTCTGGCGGGAGTCGTGGTCGAACGCATTGCCAGCAAGATCGCAGTAGTCGTCCGCGTCCTTCGCGAAGTGCTCACAGGTGTCGAGGAAGCCCTTCTTCTTGACAAGCTCGAGCCAGTCCTGCTCAAAGGAGGCTGCCTCCTCTTCGAACGCCTTGTCGGTCGGAAGCGAGTCTTCGTAGATCTTCATGAGGTCCTGGACCGGAGAACTGTCGTAGCCGGCCTTCATTCCGTCGGCCTTCATCGCGCTGAGAAGAACGAGCGTGCGGGATGCGGTGGCGGCCCAATTGGCGCTAGAAGCGAGATCGTGGGTGTCCGTCCACTGCATGCCCACCCTATATCCTTTGGCATCATCACCGTGGCCACCCAAGCCAGCGTCTGTGGCATGAATGAGGGTTCTGTCGACAGTTTGGAGGAACCTGCCCTTAGCATATTCGAGAACCCCCTCGGAGAACAACTTGACCTTCGCTTCAGCCCCCTTCAACTCGGTGGCCTCCATCGCTTTGCTTTTGATAGCTTGTAAGAGGATGTCGGCGTGGCTCGTGATTGTCTTGGACGCGAACATTGCATCGAAATGACGTCTCTTAATGCCACCCCCGTCTAACGTGATGTTAAGAGCAATTTTTTGGTGCTCATTATCATACTCGATATCGCTGCATTCGCCTACGACGTGGGTGGCAACACCAAGAGAGAAGAGCTGGGAAATAAGGTCCTGCACGGCAACTGGCGAGGCTGAGAAGGACAAAATCAGCTCTTCCACATTGCGGAAGAACTCTCTGTTTGACTGGTCCTTCACAAAGTCGGGATGCGTGACGTCAAACAAAGCGGAACGGCGCACCAGCCAGCCCTCGCGGCCCTTGCGTGAAAGGGGGGCTCTGTCGACAAACTTTGCATGAGCGTCATCGGGGTTATTCTCGAAGCCAAAGCCCTCGAATATTGCATGATATCCTGCACGAATGAGACCGATCTCCGTTACCTCGCCAATCCTATGTAGGGCTGTCTGAGCGTGGTAGGCTGCCGTTCGCGCCGCAGTTGTCATCTTGCAGTCCAAAATGTTGATTTTCCGAGGGGTGGTATGACGCTCGTAAGCAACGCCGTGATAGAGAAGAGGGCGAGAAAAAGAGAGCCAGTCGAAATCTTTCTTCAGGAACATGGCATGCACTTGATTTGTGTCTACAAACGTCCCATTGTGAGAGAGCTTTCTGCCAGGCCATTGATGACTGAAGTGGTGGCGAGGGGGAGCGGTTTTTCCCCTTGTGCGGCTGATGAATGTGAACAGACCCTGGTATTGCTCCGCTGCAACGCTGTCTATTTCATAGCAATTCTTCGAGTGGCTAAAACAAATCATATTCGTGTACCGCAGGATGATGGGAATGAAGTCGTAGGCCGACAAGGACATGACGGTGATACACAGGCTCGGCTGGGCATCAGACCTGATCTTGTCTCCGCTGAGGAGCCCTTTGTCAGAGAGGAACCGGCGGACAGACGCAGAGTTGGGGGTCCCGGAGAAGGCGTTCTGAACGACGCCCGGGTTTGAAACAGGATCTTTCCAGGTTGTCCCATGAGCAAAGTGAACAAAATCGAACTCGTACTCATGGATGCCATCTCCGCCGCCGCCATCTTTGCGTACGATCAGCTTGGGCTTGGTTGGGGTAGAAAAATCAGCATCGACGACGGTGTGGCTATAGTGGAACTCGATCTTGATCTCGGGGACATTGTCTTCCACAAACTTGAGGACCTTCTGGATGGAATCGTGCTGGATATCTCCAACCTTACCACGAGTAGTGCATGGTGTGGAGACGTCAACGGTTTTACCCCCATGGAGTGACTTGACGAAGAGATCATATGCGACGAGGTTACGGTTGCGAAGCTCTTCTCGGTGCATATCCGCAGTCGATGCCAACGCCTCGGCAGCGAAGCTGGCCAGATCACCAGCGGCAGGCACAATGTACTGATACTCGGAGGGGATCTTGTCCCAGATGACCGACGGGACACGCCCTGGAATTCCGGTGTTCATTGCGGCGTCGAAGTCAACCTGGAAGGCGTTGCCTGTGCCAACGTTGGCCTCTGACTGCATCTCGAAAACGTCGAACTTCAGATTCAACCCAATTTTCTTGAGATTTTCGCGCTCCGCCAGGACGTTCAAGACCACGCCTTTGAATAGCATGGCGTTCCTGGGACCAAAACCAGAAAGGCCATGGCGGACCTCATAGGATGCATGCTTTGACTCTTCTGACGCCTTGTCTGACGAACCAGAAGGCTTCTGCGAGTAGGTCTCAGGGAGAATAAGAGGGTTTCGCGAGTCGGATTGGGGACCAGCTGGCGGCGAGCCAAATACAGCGTTATCTGAGCACGGTGATTAGCTGGAGTGCTACCTTTTCGAACACAATCGTGGGTTGAAGCTGAAGCACCACTCACCACCATTCTGAGTCTTCGCATCGGAATGGGAGATTGATACAAACAAATTAGGTGTGCTAGTACGCGTGTTCAGGTCGTTTCCCTAAAGGTTGACGGAAGGTGTTAGTCCGGGATGAGCGGAAATACCCTCGTGAGCTTTTATCACCGCTTACCATCACGATTGTAGATTGCCAAACAACGGAATATGATCTTGGCTCTTCAGCGAACAAGGGCCAATTTATACGTATCTTGCAGACATCACAGTGTCACTTATCCTGGCCCTCAACGTATTGTATGAGAACCTGTGTTGTTATATACTGACGCTGACTGCGAGCATCAGACTCAACACTGGAATCAGAAACTTCAGTGGCGTCTGGGAGACAGGTGGTCATCTCCGAGCAGGATAGGGAAAGGCGAAGTAAGGGGCTACATAGCTTGACGGCAGCGACTCACACGTAACGTGTTTGCTTGCAGCTCCGCAGCTCTCGCAAAATTGAAGTCCATCACAGAAGCAGCGGCGAATTTTTCCTCCTCTGACAAGACCTGGGATTCCGTCCTCGTGGAGAGACATGTCGCATAACCAGTGCAGCACCGCTGCAGTCTGCTGACCTTGCCGGCGCTGTGCCTCTTTCCCGGCCAGATTCAGCATCGACCGTGATCCCAGAAACGCGCTGCATTGTAATGCACGATCCCCTATCTGAGAAGGCATCTGGGACGTGCGCCGCATATCCGGCTGTGCGAGTCTCCACGCGGTTGTAGACATATACCTGGGTCCAAGCTCATCAAGAGGCATCATCTGATGAAGAGGCGGGTTTCATTTGTCAGATTTACGTCTAGTATTCGACCCTTTACGGCTTTATTGGTTCATCCAGAAGCCTCCTGTACGGCGATGTTCCTCCTAGAGGTCTACAAGTAAACACCGCCTTCATACGTCTATTCAAGGCGCTTAGTATCCTAGCGGTACCATAAGCGCTTACGCACTCGTGTGGCTCCGCGTTCATCGCATAGGGCCACGTTCTGCTTACGTAGCCGTCCTGCATTACCGTGGGACTTGGACTGCACAGTAGTTACGAATACGGTAGTGACTTCACACGCTCCTGTCATATATATACAGTCGCTACCATGAATATCATCTAAGTCTTCTCTCTCCACCGAACGACTACCATCGTCAGCCTACCAGCTACCAAGCTACTAACTCAACCTTCAACACTAACTGCCCGGTGAGTTCGCGCTCTTATAGACTTCTCAGCTATACTCGCGATCGTCCTTTGTCAGGTTATGAGCCCTGCGGGGCGCGGCGGAGCCTAGTACCTCAAGGC